ATCTTGTTTTTTTTAATTTTTTATGTTCTAGTATATGGTCTCTGGCCAAATTTTATCAGAAATTGCTTTAACATAATTCTTCACTTAAAGCAAATGATGTTTGTCTTTCAAGCAAAAACATATCAAATAGTATTTTTAATTGAAATTACTTTAACATGACGTAATTGTAATTTTAGTTGAGTTTTGTTTTTACAAAAAGAGTCCACTTGATAGTGTAATTGTATTTGAGGTTTTTGTAATTGACTCGAGACCTGATCAAAAACTATTATTTTATTTTTATTGCTACAAATTACTCTTTTTAAGCTTATAGCAGTGATGCAGTGGTAATGAAGTTTGTAACAGAGACAGTGTTCAAGGTGATCAAATGAATTAACTGGAACTAGATTCACTCATTCTCAGACAGATTTGGTACAGAAGTGTAATCAGGTTTGCATGTAATTGAATACATATTGATGCTCGTATGCTACAAGAATCAGAAAGTATGTTAAAACAATTTTTGAACCACGTGGCTATACTTAAGCATATTTTTGTCAACTTTTATATTCTTTAGACAACCCTTTTCAGTGGTGTAGGGACGATTTTTTGAAGAGAGGGCAGGTATTGCAGTGTGTGAAGAGTGCCACAAATTTTTTGCTACTTAAGGCTTAACCATGCCTCATTCTTATCATGTCAAACAATGATACAGTAGGCAATGTTAAATATCTTTTTAGATTTAGTAACAGCATTATAAACGGATATACATGTACACAGAATTACTGAGAGACTTCTCAAAAAGCACTCAGTAGAACAATGTAGGAGAGCCTTTAAAGAATAAACCCAAACTATGCATGCTTTGTGGGGAAATTTATGTATGCTCTTGTTTGTTTTTGTTTTGGCTTTGATTGTGATAATAACAATTTTATGTGCTTCTCCTATGTTATTTTGTGCTAAGATATGATTGCTTCCTGCTGCATACAGTCTTCATTATAAACCAGGATTTTGTTTGGGTTTACATATGTATGTACATACATACTCCTAATGTTCTTGGCAGTGGGGGATTTGTTAAACCCTTTAATAGCTCACTCACTTGACAGCCCAAAATAGTATAGTTTATCATTAACTGTCCTAGCCTGATTTGTATATTTGCATATTTTTACCTTCTGTACATGTATGTACATGTGCTTGTACCTAGATATTATGTTGATATCATCATGCATTTGAAATTAGACTTTGCTTTATTCATTTGCTTTAATTCTTATTGAAGGTCTTAAATTCTCTTGCCTTTTAAAAATTATTACTGTGTCAATTTGTAAACTGTATTAATTGACGATTCTGCTTACTGATTTGTGGCCTATTAAATGCATTACAACTAGTGCTCAGCACATATTAATGTGTGTGTCAACTTACATGTATTAGTAAATGTATTATACAGTTAAGGCTGATTCACACTTAAAACTTAACCAACTTGGGTTGCACTGGTTCTTCTTTTATGGGCCTGTGGCATGTGTCTCATTCCGAAGATTGATGTGATTGGCAATGTGTGGTAACTGCAGGCAATGTATTAAGTTAAAACAGGAAGTGCTGTATAAAGCAATGGCCAGAGTTAACTTAATATTAAAGTAAGTGTAGGAATGATTTCCATGCTTAAGTTAAGTTAACTCTGACCATTAGTTTGTATTGCACTTCCTGTCTTCCTGTAAAGTTTCAAGTAAATCAGCCTTTAGTAAGAATCAGTGGATGTTCAAGCAAACAGATGGACTCTTACTTTTTGAATGAATAAATAGCTGATGCTAATTGAAAGAAGAATAAATACATGATATAATTAAAGGGTAAGTCCGGTGTATTTTTGGTGAATTTTTTTATTGGCTTAATATGATTGCCTGACCATAATAATGATGTATTCCAACTTCCCGGCATTGTCTAAAAAAATTTTTTCACTGAGATATGAGCCTTCAAAGATACTCATTTTTATTACTTCCTGTCGGTGGGTGTGGCTAAACGTGACGTCACTAGAGGCATTGATGCAGATACCGTACAGCTGGTTAATTTTGCGGAGAAAAATTTTGCGAATCCTTAAAAATAACCTGGTTTGCGGATTAAATATTTGCGGTTTTGACAGTTATTATAGCATTATCTACTGTGGTCATGCATGAATTCCATTATTTTGCGGATTTAAATTTTGCGCTTTAAATGGAATCGCAAACTCGCAAAATTTAATTCCTCGCAAATATTTCCTGCTGTACGGTAACTCCATTCCTTTATAGGGAAAAATAATCCTTTATTCTCATGTCTAGTAATGTAATATCACTAATTTAAAGATTGGGATCACTAGCTTTCATTATTCTAAGCATGCAACTGCAAGAAAATGTCATAATATTACAAGTAGGCAAATTTTCTTGTTTGCTATTTTGAGTCTTTTTCTTGCAGTTGCATGCTTAGAATAATGAAAACTAATGATCCCAATCTTTAAATTAGTGCTATTACATTACTAGGCATGAGAATAAAGGATCATTTCCCCCTATAAAGGAATGGAGTTATCTGCAGCTATGCCTCTAGTGACGTCACGTTTAGCCACACCCACCAACAGGAAGTAATAAAAATGAGCATTTTTGAAGGCTCATATCTCAGTGAAAAAATTTTTTTAGACAATGGGAGTTGGAATACATCATTATTATGGTCAGGCAATCATATTAAGCCAATAAAAAAAATTCACCAAAAATACACCGGACTTACCCTTTAAAGTTATTATTATAAATAACTTTAAAGTTATTTATAATAATACTCAATAATGATATTATTCATGATTGAAATTTTTGGTGCAATAATTGCACTATTAATCATAATGAGAATCATTCATTTGTTGTAAAAAATTTAACATAGTGATTATCAATGCTGTTATCATAGTCTCACATAGCCAGGCCCTTTGAGCCATTATTGTATTCAAAAGAGTTTGATTTTCTAGGAAACTTAAGACCTGATCATGAAGGATTAATCAATATACCAATAATCCTGTGTATCATTAAATTTTCTATTGTTTTGTAATTCTTGTAACTCCATAATTTACTAACAGTCCTGTTCACACCTTCATTTACACTTTAGGTGCTAACATCTTAAAATGTTCTTATACGTATAAAAAAGTTTGAGTTCAATTTACGCAATGTTCATGAGCTTTCGCCACAGTTAAATGCACAAAGATCTTGTTATTATTTGCATGACAATAATTCATTTTAAAATATTTAAAATCAAAAATTTTTAGAGCTCAAAATTTATCAGTTTTGATAAAAAAAAGATATTATAATGACAATGAATAATAGTATTAAAGAAATTAAAGAAGCAATGAAAATAACTTTGACATAACTGCAGTGAGTTTCAGTGGAGGGTCGAGATATAGAGATATTATTATCATGAGACGGAGCATCAATAAGAGAGAGGGCATTAGGTGTGGAGGGTTGAGATTTAGAGATATTATTCTCATCTGGCTGGGTATCAGTAAAAGAGAGGGCACTAGGTGATGAAAGAAATCTCTCAACTTCAGCTTTTGCTTTGCCAAGTTGATCTGGAAAGTCTTCACAAACTTGAAGTATTTTTCTCCATGTCACATCATTATTGGAATCTATCCATTTCTGGAACACTAGTATCAGCTTATCAGAGGCTGCTTGTTGACTGTGCAAAAGGTCATCTACTTGTACATCAAGTGCAGTCCCAATAGTTGAATAATGGGAGGAAGAATGGTTAAATAGCCTAAGAAGGTGACTCTTTTGAGGCGCTTTGTCTAACAGGAGGTCTGTATTAATCAAAAATTAATAATAATAAATATATTAACACTTTCTCACTTTTAACAGATGTATGATCATTAACTTGTTTCTGTGTTTCATCAGACCCTATACCCATGGCCGAAAAAGTCTCTTCAATCAATACATTATACCTGCTTGTCAAAGTTTTCAAAGCGTCACATAGTGTTCCATATGTTTTAGGAGACTTCCCTTCACCATGAAGCCAATGTGACATAAATTCTTTTAGAATATTCTCAAAAGGCTCGTCTTCATACTTTTCTTCATTCTCATCGTACCAATCCTGACTTAAATCAAGTTTTTCAGCCAAATCAAAAGTAGTCTTCATATCAAATCCTATCTTTTTTAAGGCAAATAAAATGGTATCAACATCTAAATTGAAGAAAAGCACTATGCATGGCAGTGTTAAGCATTTTTTGAAGCTCATACCTAGTTTCTTGCTATTTGTAATATTATCTTGAAATGTTCTTTCCTCTAAATAATGAAAGGGAATTAAAATAATACACAAAATACATGTAGCTACTAACCAATCTTATTTACATAGTCAGCTGCAGCTTCCTTTTCCCCTATTGCACGTAATGCTTCAATAACTTGAAGCCTTGTTGGTTTAGAGCACTCTTTTAGCCAAGCTTCAAACACACCATCTAGTCTGTTGTAATCACCTGATATGTTAAGTTGATTAGCTAGAGATTGTATTTTCCCTGGCTCCATAGCTTCAATATTGGCACACAGCTCATGTAAAGGCGGTTGCTCATGCAAATATACGTGCATGTGTACTTTGTCACCTACACAAATGACAACATATTAATTATTATGAAGTGAAATTAGGCAAGCTCAAGTCAAAAGCAGTATTAGTGCTATTAATGTCTAGAGTTTCAACATACCTAGCCATGGGCGCTGTCGAGTGGTAACCTCTGAAGTGGTAACATTACCGTATGGGCAGGTAAGCGTTTTATGGTCACGCTCACTCAGAACACACAGGTGAGCAGAAGGATGTTCACACTTTTTGTCTATGCAAAAAAATTGTATTTGTAGCTTTAAATAGTTATGACTGCCATGAAGCTCCTTGATTATGATAGTTAAGCAATCAAATATGAATTCCTTTATTTCGTAGCAGTTGGCTTGCTGCCCATTGTAATAAATCTCTATGTATGTGAAGAGACTTCTGAAGACAGTGTGGGGATTTTGCTTGCTGTCGAATCAATGATAGGTACATAAATTCTACATTGTGAAGCCTTAAATAATAAAATTTATTATTATTATTATTCTTTAGGTTATTATGTTCTTAAGGGACTTATTGACGTTCGCTATCCCATATTAACAAAGTGGACATCAATATCTTTTTCGGGGCCTAAAGACAGTGGGAAAAAGAAGTTAATTGATCTTCTTTTAAACCTTCAGGGAAACCCAGGCACCATTGTAAAGGAAGAAGCATTGGAGGTTTCTAAGCTACTTGTGGGTAAGCTAGAGAACAAGGCAGAGGCAATGCCCTTTGCTGAAGTCATACTCAATACCAGCAACTTTCAATTTTCTCAATATTTCTTTTGCTCACCTGCACAACCCACACAATATAAACTCCTCGAAGAAGCTGTTTGTAAACTGCTTCGGGTTCAGTTATCACCCTCCTACCTCAAGCAGTCATTAGATTACTCTCTGCTTGCAAAAGAAGTAGAGGAGCTGAAAAATAAAGTTTCAACCCTCCATTCTCATCATGAGGACTTAGAGAAAATTTTACACAGTCAAATAGGCTCAATTCAAAGGACTCGACGATTTACAAGAAGGTCATTTGTGAGACCTGACGACATTAACACGTCAATTAAAAAGGGCATCTCATTTCTTAAGCAGCTCGGAGATCACCTTATATCACTAACTCCTACTATTCCTATCACAATTACTGAGCAACCTTCGAATTCCGTCGTATCTTTTACTTGTAGTAAACCATCTACTCCTGGCTTCTTCACCGACGTCATGAAGCTTTCCACTGATGAACCAGTGGTGCCATCTTTTCCCATTCACCTCATCTCTGTCATTAACACAGGTGGATCCCTAGCTGTTTTAGACATCATTCCATCTCTCTTTTGCTTTATACCAGTAAATATAATAGTCCATAACTTGACCGATGATCTCAATTCCCTCGTAGCTGGTTCCAATCTAACGCATCAAGAAACAATTGAGTCAACCGTTCGCTCTCTCAATTCACTGATGCCTCCAGAAAATGCTGAAATAACAATGGAGTCAAATTTTGCCGTTGTCGGCACACGATACACTGATACTCCAGAATTTAAGGAGGAAGTTAACGAGAAAAATTACAGAATAAAATCGAAGTTAATTGATTATGGAGAGTACATATTACGCTATGGTAGCTCACTGATATTTCCTATTGATGCCGAAGCTAATGATGAATACACGCAGAAAATATTTAAAGCTCTCTTGAGGAAGATATCAAAATACTTCATTGAAGATGACATACCGATTCAGCAGCTGTTGTTCATAATGGAGTTAATTCGCCTTAAAAATCATCAACTGATACACATATCTCAATGCATTGAAATAGGTGAGAGTTTAAGCATGGATTCTCATGAAGTCGAGAGTGTCCTAAAGTTTTGTCATCAGCTTTCAATCGTCCTTTATTTCTCTACATTCCTTGGCCACGTTGTTTTCCTTGATCCTCAATGCCTCCTGTCTAAACTGTCAGACCTCTACAACATATCTCATCAATCCAACACTCCAGGTTTAATTGAGGCCAGTACGATAGCCAAAGTATTCAGTGAGACCAGCTTACTAACACCTGAAGACGCCTTCAATCTACTAGTGAGCCTACATTTAGCTGTCAAAATTGATGCCCTCTATTTCCTACCATACACCCTTCACAGGGTCTCCAATGATGAAATAGCGAATAGGAAGAGAATGGTACAGAGTGGCCTGGATCCACTTGTCTTGACTTGGGACATAGGCCAGATACCCCAAGGTCTCTTCCCTACGCTCATTGTACTCCTCATTCGAAAGTATGGCATGACCATTGATACCAGTTGCCTTAAACGAGCATGCGCAGTATAAAAGGGGGGTGGTCTGCCCAAAAATGGAAGCAAATATTCAAAATGGCGATTACACATGATAAAGATATTGATAACATCAGTTGATTTACATAGTAACAGTAAAAGGAAGAGGCTACAATTGCCTGGCCTCTTATTTCCACATGTTTCTTGTTCTTATCTTCTGACTAAATCACGGTTAAGTTGTTTATAGCGAGTCATAGTGAAACAGGCCGAGCTTCAGGACGATCAAGGCCGGACTCATTCAGGATGACTTGTAACATCGAGTTTGAGTCTGCCAAAGAGAAAGGTGCCTTTAGTCATCATTTAGAAGATTTTCAATCCTTGCTATCTAAGAACAAGCTAGATAGCTTTGGTCTGTTGACAGCCATGTTTAATTTTATAGTTTTAGTTAAAGCTGCATGATGCATGGCTCTTTTGAGTCTTCTGCTGGTATAGGGAGTTAGTAAAACTGTCTGTACTCTTCTAAGAGTCTATTTTAGATCTTGTGGATGCCTGTGGTGCTTGCATTCTGTGATTCTTCACTGCCCATTTTTAATTACATTCTAAAGCCACCCGCCATTTTTAATTGACTGGGCAGCCCACCCCCGTTTTATACCCGTGCTCATGCTCAGTGCTGTAGCAATCATCACGTAAGGTGGAGCAGTGGTTATATTCTGCACATGCTCGTTTAAACGTAACGTCATCATACTTGAGCATCCATCGCATTGGAAATTCATGTTAGTTGATGTGTTTCATTGGCTTGAAGTCTACTGCATTTCTAATGAGAGGCATTGCCTACATATCAAAGACACAATTTTGGCAGAAATCAATTCCA